AACGTTCTGAAATTTGTAGTGATGGGTGCACAACATTGTAAATACACTAAAGACCATTGACTTGTGTACTTTAAAGTGGATGAACTTAATGGAATGTAAATTATATCATTAAAGCTGTTTTGCAAAACCTTGAGGTTATTGGGGATGGTGGGAGCGGGGAGATGGGGCACACTGTTAGTTCCCCAAGGCCCTCTAATTTCCTGACTCAAGATATTCACAGATCCAGAGGGATCTCCAGTGGAGTCGAGGGTCAGTGGGGAAGCTGTTAGGATTCCAGCTCCCTTGTTCCCTGGTTGCCGCAGCTTTGGTGGAAATGGTGTCAAGGACCACTTGGTGGACCCATATCCCAGCCCCTGCGGGGGCTTCTCTACCTGTGGAACAGACCCCGCCTCCGGGTTTGGTCCCTCCCCCGTCCCCTGCCGGTCATCGCTGATTAGCCTGGAGGCAGACAAGTGACCTCAGCCGGCCAATCACCTGTGCCCTCCGGAGCCGGCAGCTCCCGGTCAGGGGGGCGAAAGCAGATCCTAGGAGGTCCCAGGGGCGCTGCACGTAGACCGTCCTTGCTCAGGCACTTCGGGGATTCTGCTGTTTCAAACCGGAAAAGTTTTGACGCCTAGTGGGCACCAGGAGCTTTCGGCAGCAGCGGGCAGGGCAGTGCAGGGGCGTGGACACTGAGGCCAGGACTCGGCCAGAATACCTGGCCTGGACCAGCCCAGCTCGCGTGGCTCATCTGCGGAACAAGAATGACACTCGACTCAGCTACTTTATTGGGAGAAACAAGGAACACCGGGCTTTGTTGGTGATAGTGTCCCCAGAAATGTTCGTCATCCACGGAATTCTGTACAGCTGAGAACTGCGGGCCAGAATAAAGAATCCTATTATGTGATTAGTCTTCCTTTTCTCTTGTGAATTGAAAAAATTGCTCTCTATAAAAATAGTTCTGGTAAGGGAAATACAGAAGGCATAAATTAAAACTTTCAGGTTTTGAGAATCCGAAAGATCAAGCCAGAGGAGGAGGTGCTCAGAGAGCAGAGTGCAGTTGAGGGATGGGTGGCCTCCACCAAGCCACAAGTCGGTGCAGTGTCACCAGTCATGGGGCCCTGGGCCTCTCTGCCTCTAGGCTTTAACCTTCATGGCCCAAATGAGGGGTGGTGGCTAATGTCCCTTCCAGTTTTAAATTCTCTTGCACACAAGGGCACCAGAGAGCCCAAAGACTGGGACTTAGGCTCAGCTGAAGACATCACTATCCAACGGCCTGGCCCCCTTGCCTAGAGCTTCTTAGATTTTAACATCAACTGATCTCTCTCTGTGTTTGGGCCCTGGGGCTTTTAAAGAAAGCATAATTCAACTGCTCATGCCCAAGAATATGTTCAAGCACCACCATCTACACTATCCTTCACCCTTGGTACGATCTCACAGAGCTGATTTTTTTTTTAGGAATAAAATTGACATTATTTTCACATGAAACTGTTTAACAATGTTAACATTGGATTTTTGTAGAAAAATTTTGAGTCATGAGGATGTGTGGGAATGGATGTTTTGGGTTCCTTGGATTTTCTGATTGAGTAAGGAACAGCTGGAAAACCGAAGTCTCTCATCCGATGAGATGTACTGGGCACATGCTGTATAAAAGTTCGTGTGTGTGTGTGTACACGCACGTGCGTGTGATGAAAAGTCCCAGTGTGTGTACACCCAAGTGCGTGTGATGAGAAGTCCCAGTCACTGGGAGGCTACTCCAGGTGTGGCAAGCCCTGGGCAAGGGCCACGGCACAGTCCTTATGAAAACACTGACCACTGGGAGAGGCTACACGTGGGCTGAGCTCAAGACTCAGCTGGAGGTTACTTTAAAAATGAGAATCCACATGTGCAGCCTGTTTTCTGTCACGCACCCCTGAGTGGTTGGCAGAGCTTCTAGGACACACATATCAGAGTCTGAGCCCAGCCCTCCACTTACCTGGCAAAGTTGCTGCATCTCAGTTCCCACACCTATAAATGGAATCTAACCTCCGTGTGGAGCTGTGGAGAGGATTAGAAATAAAGGTGTAAAGCATTTTGCATAGTGTCCTGTGCAGAGTAGTCATTTAGTAATTGGTAGTTTATAACTATTAGTTTCTTAAAGGGTAAATTCGGAAGAAATCTGAGTTGAGACTCACTTAATTTAAGTTACACCAACAATTTTATTTACAAGCACATTGAATTTGGGGGGACAGTTTCTAGCTTTTTTCCCCCAAATATTAAATAAGCTACCTCTTAACCTCTTTGTGGCTCAGTTTGCTCATTTCTAAAGTAGGGATAATAACTCTGTAAAGACTAATAAGTAAGTTAATATATAGGTAAATCTCTTAGAACAGAACAAGGCACATTGTAAGGGCTGTAAGTGTTAACTATTATTGCTACCATATAAACACTTTTAACTGAAGGTAAGATAGTTCTCATAAACAAGAGCTAGGAAAGCCTCTGAACAGGGCTGGGACGCAGGCCGGGCCTTGCCTTACAAGGTGGCTCCGGCTAAGAACCAGGTTCTCAGGGGACCCTGGTTCCCCCTCTGCAGATGAAAATTATCCCTACTCCTCCACCCTTTCCCCCAACTCTGCACACTCCAGTAATCAACAAATATTTGCTAACAGCCCAGCCGTTTTCAGGAGGGAGAAACTCAAATTCAGAGTGGGTTGGGGACTCACTCAGGGGCCCAGCAGCACTGGGAGTGGAATGGCAGGTGGAGAAAACCTACGTTCTCCAGCTATTTCGGAGTCCAGTCCTTAAGCCGTATCTCCCCACTCTGGGTACCTCCTTCCTCCGCGCCACCTCCAGCATCCTGAGTGGATCTTCTCCAAGAGCTGCCAACCTGGAGCAAACGGCAGAGGCCAGGTGGGAATGCGCTGACAGGAGCTTCTGACTTGGCAACTGAGCATGAGCTGTGCTGAGGCCGTAGGCTGGCTTGGGCTGGTGTCCTGGGCGGCCCACTGCCCACCGAGATGGAGATGAGAGGGAAAATGTGGGCTTTTCTTCCTCACCTCACGTAGCCTCTGGTCCAGGTAATCAAGCTTCAGTGTCCTCCCTGTTGGGTTTTGGTGCTGACACCAAAGAGATCCACCATGGGCCTACTCCAACTCCACCATGCCCTCGGAGACCTGATAGAGGAGGGAAGGGGAATGGCGGCGGATAGGGAGGAAGGCGAATGCAGGTGCAGGCTCTCTTTCACTTGAGAAGCGGCTAGAAATGAGCCTCGACTGGGTCCGCGTGAGGCCCAGGGTGCACTGGCAGCCTGGGCTCTTCTTCCGGGCAGGAGTCCTTCTCTTGCCTGCCCTTCTGGTTCCCCTCGGCTTGTTCATCTGAGTTTGGATGACTTCAGTGGTCACCAGTACTGCCAACAAATCTTCTCAGAGGTAGGACTTAAAGCCAAGAATCCTAGCCCAGCCTCTTGGTTTTGGTGAGCACCAGATCCTTGTCTGCAGGATGATAAACTACTTAATGCAGAGGACCCTTAAAGAGACATAACTCATTCTGCTACAGCACTCTGTCCAGATGGCACCTGGTAACACAGGCTGCTGTGGTCTGTTCACATGAACGTCTCCTCATCTCCTCCTGTTTCCCGGGCAATTGCCACCCTTTATTCACCCAGCACATGGTGGGCATTCACAAAGTTAAATAAAACTGACCCAGAGGCCAGAGCTGGTCTACATGTGGGTTTTATTTTGCCTGCAGAGTATGTAAAGGATTTTTGATTTGTTGTTGAAATCAGGAGATTCATACAGAAATACGGACTTGCCAGTTTCTCTGGAAAACCTTAAAGATGGGGCTCAGGGCCCATGTGCCTCCTGCCTCATGACACTCTGCCAGCACTTAGGAGTCAGCTCCCTTTAGACAGACGCTCTCCACTCTGTCTGTCTCCATTACTCCCTCTTCTCTCACAACTGAATCGCTTCCACTTCACACACTGATTCCAACCACCTGGTCCCTGTAGGCAGCTGAGTTAACAGCTCCTGTTGGTAATTTGGGCAGTAATGGAAGCAAAGATTTCCGTCAGCCCCATCAAAGAAAGTTTCAATACACACATCTGAGTCTTGCCAGGCAAACAGAATGCACTTTGCCTCTGGAGAGATGCCACTGCCACAGAGGCACTGTAGATCACCCAGCTGTTCCACGGGTGGCCAACAGCAATGATGTTTGGCTGATCTGGCTGCAATCAGTCCTTTCTCTGGTCCATCCTCTCTGGTGACAATAGGCAACGATGTGCCATTTGTGCCCATTTGTGCCAGAAGAATGGGGAGAGATGGCACTGGCTTTACTGAGCCACTGTCAGTCAGCAAGGAAAACATCTCTGGCTTTCCACATTCAACTATTCTAATCATTATCACCAGGAAACCGACCCACACACCCAACAACAAAAAGAAAGAAAGGGGTGGTGGAGGTGGCAAGGAATCCAGCACTTCAGGCTGAGGCACGCAGTGGGCACAAGTACTGAGGTGCAAAACCACTGGGGGTTTAGGAAGGGCCTGAAGCTGGGGGTGTGGCAGCAGGTGGAGATGGGAAACTGGCAGCTGCCACGTTAAAGCAGTGAGCTGTGAGAGAGCCCAAGGACCGAGGGCTTAAGGAAGCAATGGCCTGGGGCCCCTGCTTCAAGGATAATCCACCACAACACTGAACAACACTCATGTAGGGAGCACGTGGGTGGACAGGCACCACCAAACACCCTGTGAAAAGCAATTAACCCCTAAAAACCTGCCAGAGTAGAGGTTTTCAAACCATCTTTAGGATTTTTCAAACTAGATCCCCCTACCCCGCACAGGACAGATGGAGCTGCTCTGGTGATGGGGGGTGGGGAGGAGGCCCCGGCCCCAGCCTAGCACTCCCCTTACAGGCCCACAGCGCCAAGGAGCACAGTTCAAAGACCACTGAGCTGGAGCCCAAGCACCTTTTCCTTTTACAAAGCAGAACAAGCCACCCTAGAAGAGAGCTGCTAAGAGGCTAAGTGCTCCTATAGAGATGAACAGTTCCACTTTCTGTTGCCACATTGTTAACTATTTATTGAATGAGGCAGTAATAGACAGAATGGAGAACGACACAGAATCCATGCTCTGCTACTAGGGTTTTGCTTTCCTTCTTCTTGGCAATTTCTCAAACTATTAGGAGGTTATTTCACCACAAGGGAACACGGACTTTAAAGCCCCTGGACAGCTTCACAATGACGATAAAAAATAATAATTAAAAAAATAACAAACTGTAGAACTAGGACTGTTTTATGTAAATTTCCCTTCCCTCCCCGCATTACGTACAGAAAAAAACATACAAAGAACATTGGATAGTTTCATATAAAACAAGCAAATACAAGAATCTGAAACTTTTCTCAAAGGCTGAGCAAGACGTGAAGAATCTTTTAATGTCGCATTAAAAAAAAAACACATTAAATACACTATCACACATGGGGGGCCTGGGAGGAGGGAGGAAGAGTTGTCCCTGTACTCAAGGAGCAGAGATTTGGCCTGTCAAAAAGTCAGGTGAATTTAACCACTGGAGACTCAGGGCCTGCAGCTGAGAAATCACAGAACTTAGTTACAAAGCACACCCAGACCAATAAACACCTGGGAGAAGGAAGCTGCCTGGGGCCGGGCCCAGCAGGATGCACCCTGGAAAACTGCAGGGTCCCTTCTGAAACAGGGCCTGATCCAGGAGCACAGGAAACACCCTCAGCCCTCTTCTCTTCTAACGACCCCCAGTGTGATGGCCAACCTTCCTCCAGCCGGGTGCCCCGTCAGTGCCAATCTCCGCTGTTAAGCCACAGAAAGTTACAAGAAAGAAGATTGCTCCCATTGTACCCTGGTCTTTGAAGATTTTTCTCTCCGTCCTTCCTTTCCCCTTCCAACCCCTCCCACCCCCCCTCCCATTCTCTCCCCACCACGCACACACCCACAAGCACACCTAATGCGCACGCACTCCTCAAACCCTTAATACTTCTGTTACCTTCAGTTCATATACATGACCAATTCAGGACTGACCTTAAAACCAAAGCAACGTGTTATAGTCATGAGATCAAGAAGGTTTCCTGGGAAGGGGAGGAGATGGGAGGTTGAAGAAAACCCTCTGTCCCTGCTTGGGAGCTTTAAGGACATTCATTTGCCTGTGGCAAGGTCAGCACCTGGGCCAGCCCGAAGAGCGTCTCAACTGCCAGACCACGAGACCCCTGGACCTTGCAAGCACAACTTCTGGACCTCACCCTATTCTGGAACCTCCTGCCTCAGGTGAGTCCAGCAGAGAGAGTTCTGGGTGGCCACTGGGGGGCAGCTTTGGTGAAGGGCATGGTCACCTCCGCCTGAGTTTGTCAGTAGCTCAACGCATGACCCTGGTATGAACAAAAACTGGGTGGCTGTGTCTGGCTACGTACCCTACACCCACTAAACTGGGTGAATTATTTTTTCCACAGCTCACCTTGATTTCATACAGATAATTCCATGCGGGTTTCATATATATATATATATATATATATATATACACACATATATATATATACTTATATATATATGTAAATGTGTATATCCATATGTACACATATACATATATTCACACTCACACATACACACACATAAGTATACACACATATTTCTGCAGAAAGAAGTCCTGCCACAATTTGGCTTTTTCGGGACAGTGAAATTGACAACACAGTATCTTACTCCACTGATCCCAGAAAATCAAGAGTGGTGCTTTAAAAAATGCAATTCCAAAATCTGCTGCCTTTCTTCCTTTTAAAAAAAAGGTTAACGAAACTTTTCTTCCAAAGTCGAGAGACTTAATTCCACTTGATTGCACCTCTGCAAACGTGTAAAAAATTTTGAAGTAGACTAGAAAACAAGGCCATGATATGGCTGCATGTCACTGTTCCAACGTCACCACCTCCACAGCCTGGCCGTCCATGGTGACTGCGCTGTCCGATATCCTGGTGGTCACAGGGGCCATGGCCACCTGCACGGGGCCATTGCCCTGCGCGAGGCTGGTTACCACAGTCTGGTACATGCTCACAGGGATCTGGACCAGTCCTGGGGAGACAAGAGGAGATTGTTGGTGGGGACTGGCTGCAGCTCCCTAGACGCTTCAGGATATCACTGTCTGCAGCCTCAGGTAATTGCATACCTGCTGTCTAGGTACAAATACATTCCTTTTTTCACCTCATTTTGATTCTTTAAAACAGACTATCAGGAAAGAAAAATTTGGAGAAATTGTGGAAGCATGCCTCAGAACAGGGCATGCTCCCCAACTTGCTAAGGGACTGCCCTGCCTGCCTGCCTCCAGCTTAGGACGCACAGGCCCACCACGTATGTATTCTCCTCCCAACAAGTCCACCCCTTCTGACTGCCTTCTTCTCCAGGAAAGGCTACCATTAATTTTCTTTGATATTTTGCTACACTGATTTCTTCAACCCTCTTTCTGTCTATTCTCAAGTTTCTCTCAGCTTGAAAAAACTTCTCCTTCAATCCTATCCCGTCTTCTGGGTACTGTCCCTCTCCTCAGAGTCAGCTTACTGAAACAAACAAAAAAAGGCCTAGGTCATTACATTAATTTTCTGATTTTAGATTTCACAGGCTAGTAAAATTTTAAAATACATTTTGGGGTCAACTTAAAATAAAAGAAGCAACTACCTTCTAATATCATTATTTCACAGTAGAAAGGATGGTTTAACAAAATGAGGAAGCAAGTAATTTCAGAAAACGTCAGTCCTTCCTAAGAAAGGAAAGTAGATAATTTTATATGACATATTAAAAAAAGATTTCCAGTTAAATAAGACAGAATAAATGCACATATAGAACTCATCTGCCTCCTAAAATTATATCAGAAGAGGAAAAAAAGATGTGAGTGATGTCAACATATTTTTGGAAGATGCAAAGCAAATGTAAAGTGGTTCTGACTTATCAGGAAAGGGGAAGCTGCAACTTCTGTGTCCATGGAGGGCTCAGGACATGGAGGCCAAGCTTTTGCAGAATGAGGGGAAGAGACTAAAGATAGGAGTTAGCTGAAAGTTTGTATTCAAATAATTGGACTAGTAGGTACCACCAACCCCAACACTGAGATGTTGGCAGGACGTTCGAAGTTCATCCACTGTACTGAGAAACTGACCAGGAAAGGCCCCAGAAACGACCTATGGTTATATTTGGCAGGTGTGGAGATGGCGTGAGGGGGAGGGTGGGCACGGGGTGGGGAGACAATGAAAAATCTTGGCTGGTGTCCTAAAGCTTACCATCCTGCCCAAGACCTACAGGTCCCCAGCTCTGCCCTGCACACCCCGAGAACTGGTGTTTCAGTGTCTCACTCTTACACAGAACACAGAGGTAGCAGAGAAAACATGGGGAGCAGAAGAAAACAAAAAAAACCCTAATGCCCCAAAACTCTATATTTTCAGAGAGAGAGAAAAGATTTGTAACATAAATTAAAAAGGAATATGAGGAAAAAACCCCCAATAGATGAACTACATTCCAAAGAAAGATCAGAAGGTAAAGTCAAGGGACTCTTCCAGAGAGTAGAAAAGATTAAAAGATGGAAAGTAGGAGACCTTCAGAGGTCCAATCTCTGACAAAAGAGAATTCCAGAGAGACTAGAAAAAATAGAAGGTAGGAAATTATTGGACACATTGTAAATAAATTTCTAGAAGTGAAAAGCATCAAGTTTCAGATTGTGATGTCCACTAGATGTCCTGCACAACAGGTGAAAAAAGATCCAGACACTAAGACACATCTTCACAAAACTTCAGAACACCAGGGATAAAGCAAAGATCCCAAAAGATTCGAAAAGGGACAAAGAAAGTCATATCCAAAGAACTGGAAATCATAATACTGTCGGACTTTTCAAAAGCAAGCCTGGAGGCTAGAACATAATGAAGCAAAGCCTTCAAATCAGAGAAAAAGCTTTCAGCTTAGAATTCTCTCTCCAGCCCATGAAATGATACCTATGTCAGTTAAGTGTGGGGCAGAATAAACACATTTTCAGACTTGTAAGGGCTCTAAAAACTGGGCACCCGTGCACTTTCTGTGGAAGCTCTGAAGGGTGTGGCTCACAGAAATGAGAGAGAAAACCTAAGAAAGAAGTGGCCATGGGATCTAGGAGACAGAGAATCCACTGCAGAGAGCTCTGGGGCAGGAGGAGGGGAAACGGCATGAGCTCGTGGGAAAGAGTACCAAGAGGGGTTGTACAGAATTGGGTCAAACCGGTGATCACCTCTTCAAAAGGAGAAGAAAAAAAGAAAAGATTAACCATAATAATTATAATACTCTCATCTTGGCAATGGACAACTTTTATGTTTATAAAGTTTAATGTTTATAATAACATAAACATAGAAACTGAGTTATCAAAAACTTGTGATAAATGTCTCAACTCAAGAAATAATGATTCAGTCTGTTATTTAGAGCAGTAAAGGTACATACGAGAAAAAAGAGCATGAAGTGTTGCTCCTGGGGTACAAATTATCTTTTTAAAAAAGGCCTTTTACTTCTTTTTGACATTTAAAGCCATATATCACTTTGATGAAAATAAAAATTAATTTTAAAAGGGATGTTTTACCAGGATATTTTCTAATGCAAAAAAAAAATCCCACATAAAATGAAATGTTACTTTACAACATTAAATTGAATCTAATTGTTTTCTAGAGGTAAGTGTTGGCAGTTTAGGAATGAAGTATTTGATGATGCAACATGAAATGGGGCTTGCCGTTTTGTTTTGATGACAGTCATTTTTGGGACTCCCTGCTTACCCAGGTGGGCATTAACGTGAATGGAAGGCATGCCATCATCCCTCATACTTGAGGCGCTGGGTGGGGCCTGAGAGGAGGAAGGAGGGCCCTACCCACACCACTATGCTGGGAGGAAGCACGCTGGGGGGCCAGGCACTGGCTTCAGAAGGCTGTAGGATTTAATTTCTTTCATCTAGACCTTTGCAAATGGTGCCTACATGTCTTATTAATTCCTCTTTCTGTTCACCTCTCCCTGCCACCCAAGTTACCCAATCACAAACTTTTCAGATTTCCTGATGTTAAAAAGGTTCCTAAAGTCTATAATAAAGTTCGAATGTTGGGCATTGTATTCAGGTCCTCTTATGATTTGTCCAGTCTCATTCCCTCACTCCCCTCACTCCCTGTGCTCTGGGCATCAACCAGCATTCTTCTCAGTTCCCCCAACATATTGGTCACATTCCTTTCTTTGGGCCCTTGCTCAAGTTGTTCACTACCTGGAATTCTCTTACTGCCCACTCCTTCCCCTTTAAAACCCAGTTCAGTTCTCTCTCCTCTTGAAAGATTATCCCAGCCCTTGTCTATATACTGACAAGTATAGACAGCATAGACAGCCTCCTTGGGATTCTCAGTAAGGACTAGACAGCAGGGTATAATCTGGCTTGGCCCAGTTAATGTGTGTAGCTAGGCCTTCCCACTGGACTGAGGGCCCTGGCTCTGGTTCATATTCTATTGCCCACAGTATGACGTACAAGGTGTGCCATAAGTTGGCATCAGCATTGCCTCAGGGGCAACAGGCCAAGGGATTCTTCAGCTGGCCTCAACCAATGTGCAGTGGAGCTCTGCTCCCCAGCCTCTAGACACCAGGCATGGGCGTGAGTATATGTGACGACTAGACGGCCCCCTTCCATTACCCTAGTGTTTCTTGACCATCAGCACTTTCAACCTCTTTTCTAGTCAAAACAGGCAAAGTTAATGAAGTAACCCCAAATGCCCTCTGGCAAAACCAAAACACCTCCAAGGAACCTACACATTAGCAAACAGCAACCAAAACCAGGAGCAAAGTTCAGTCTCATTTGACTGTTCTTGCTTCTGGGCTTGATTCAGTTCCAAAAGCTCCAAGCTTGGGGAGTAAGTTACATGCTGTACAAATACAGTGACTACTATGAGCAGGGAGATTCTCCCTGACTGTGAGCAACCATCCTGGGTTAGCATTTGGGGTGGAGAGAAACTTAAAGAATTGTCAAGAGTTAAATCTCTTTCACCCTGGTTTATGGTGCATTTGAGTTTTCTATGATGTGGGTCCATGCCCAACACTGTTGTTAAAACACTTTTTAGTATCATGGAAGATGTGCCTCAAAATAAATTGGAGAAAGGTTCAAATGTAAAAATATAAATTGGCTGACACTGCTATAACCAGAATGATCTTTTGAACACAAACTGATCTTGTTGCCCTCTTCAACAATTCTTTAGTGGTTTCCAATGGCTCATGAGATATAAAGTCCAAATCCCTTTGCAGGTATTTAAACCCTTCTTGTCAGCCCCTGTTGTTCAGCTGAGTGATCCATAATCCCCTGCCCACTTTACACTCCAGCCAGGTGAACTATTTGACTGAGGTTCTCTACACACACGCCTCCATGATGTGCATGAACTGTTACTTCTGCCTGGAATGACTGTCCTCAGCTTGTTCCTTGAATGGACTCCTCTTCTTCCTTCAATGGTCAGCCCCAGTCTCTCCTTCTCTGTCTTAGCTCCTCTTGTCCCAAGGTTCCACAGCACTTTGCGCTGGCCTCCATGGAGGCAATGGTCATATTCATTACCGCTTATCGCCAAGGAGACTGTGAATTCCTTAAGGGAGAGATGGAGTCCCCATATTTGAGTCCCTAGCAATCAGCAGGTGCTCAATAAATGATTTCTACACTCATGAATGAAACCTGCCTTCTGAGATTTCACAAGGATCCCCTCCTAGGGACTAAGTGGTTGAAGTGGGTGAGTCTTAAGGGTGATTAGGCTGTTTCAGAATGGGAGCGCTCAGTCTACAAAACAGTATTATAAAAACTACTACAAACTGATAGTATTTCAATTAACAAAACAAAACACTACTACATTCAGAACTCACCCAAATAAAACAATTTTTAAAGATTTCATCTTCTGTACATCACCTCACAGGGAAGGAGTCAATTTAGCCTCTACAACTGGGTGATGAAATGATTCCCACACAAAGGTGTCTCGAGAGTGAATACCTGGTGACAGCAACTACATATATAAAAAGCCTTTTGGAGGGAGACCTTCCATATACAGGGTCATTTCATGACCTCAAAT